AGCTGAACTAACAAAGACTGTTCAAGCTTGATCTACGTTTAGGTCCAACTTCTAAAAGGACAGGGCCCAGATCCATAATCGTTAGTGCAATTATGTGCTTGATTTGCATATACAGTTCCTGCAGTTATATATGCAAATGGACTATAAACATGATTTCAAACCGGCCATTTAATACCAAATACTCAACATAAATCTGTGACTGCATATAATGTGTGTGAACTAGTTATGCCGTTGTGCCTACTCCAAACTATGGTGCTTGCAGGAATGTAGCTCTCATATAATAGAAAACAGACACGTTTAATTGGACTGCATGCAATTAGTATAAAATTTCTTTGGAATAGTTAAAAATCTTAGGGGTGAAACTGGATTTCTTTGTTCATGTGCTTCATTCTTTGCACACAAATTTTGTTCTTTGTAAAAATTCTAGATGAACTCTCAAGGCAGTTCTGTGTTAGGAGTGAGAACAGAACGCAGAGTTGGGCAGGCTGAGATCCAGCCGTTGGTGTGGGTCCTCCACAACTGCCCATGAGACCTGGTTCTGCAATTCCAGTCACCACCAGCTGTCCATTATGTACCCGTCTCAGCTATGGTATCGGTGAAATGCAGAATACAGGCTGGGATTTTTGATGTCACAAAGATGTGTCTGTGTAACCATTAATTTGTTGGGTGTTTTTTTTTCAAGAGAGAAGATAGCTTGTGTTGTGTGTGAGCAGCTTTTTGCTATTCACACAACACCCTAGAGGTAGAAGATTGTTTGAGAATCAAGTCCCATGGTTACAATGTGGGTAGTGTTTGTCTGTTTAATTCTGTAAAGTAATCAAATACACATAGATAAATTTGTTTTGCTCATTCATAAGTAAGTAAAGGTCTGGAGAGGGGAAATCTGGCAAGTTTTGGTAGTGTAAGACTCAAAGCCTGAGTCAGATACTAACAATGCACAGACTGGTTTTCAGTCCTCCTAACAGCATTTGTAAGCAATGTAGCCTGTATTTAATCCTTAAATTTGACAGACTCAAACTTAATCCATCATATCTTTAATCTATCTGGCAATAAATATAACTTTTATTCTCAAGAAACATGTAGCACTGTTAATTTTTTTTCTGTGAAGCAGTGGACTCCCTTCAGGAACCATCAGGGCTATTCGAAGGGTGGACGGGTGCGTTTGTGGGGGCTGGCAGTTCCTACAGGGTGAGCTGTGAGGACTGGATCTCTGCACCCTGTGCCAGGCTGGCACTTGTGTGGAGCAGTCTCCACACACGAGAGAACAGCAAAACAAACCAGTCTGTAGCCCAGGGAAACAGCAGTTTTCAAGTGAGACCACTGCAATCATCATTTCTCCCCTTCTGGCCCAAGTAAGGTGATTTTATACCACTTTGCCATTTGTAGGCAATATTTCCCAATTTTAACTGTCAGAGAAAATGGGTTCTTTTCGCTTAATTTGTGCTAGTGGAGGAAACAGCACTGATCTTCTGTTGTAACTGTGTGTGGGGCTATAGCAGAAACATACTTGTATGTTTAAATGTTATGAACCAGGCTGCGCTTGTGTCCTTGCCTGTGTGGGAGGCTTCGTTATAGCTTAGACACAAGGAAACCAGTTATCCTGTCTCTTATATTGGAAGTTGTTAAGAAGTAACTTTTAGTATTGTGTTTCTGTGCTATTTTAAGGGGGGAAAAAAAAGAGCAGTTAAATGGTAAAAAAAAAAATTGAGTGAAGATTTAGCACGAGTAACTATCGTTATTTCCTACCTATTACAAGTGCTTTACTTCTTTTTCTTGACAGTTAGCAAAGGAATCAGAAAAGACGTTGTGAGTAGAGCCACTCCCTGAAACTGTCCATTCTAGTTGGTTGCCCACATCCATTTGTGCAAGGACAAAATTTGGGTTGTGATACGCCATAAAGCACTTGAATAACACAAACCCATCTAAGCCTAATTTAACCTTAATGAGATGCCACCTTTTGGCATAGATAGATGGGAATAATATTAAAACAAAGACTACTTTTTTGCCTGCAAATTCAGGTTAGAAAGAATGTAGTTTCTCTTTCAGCTATGTAATGCCGGTCCTCCAGTGAGGGAAGTTAGTGTATCCTCCCAGGCACTGCAAATAGCAGATTACAGCTACTTTATAGCAATAAATTAAAAATGGTTACCAGTCTAAGTCTTGTTGAATTAGTATTATGCTCTATCTGACAATTATTGTGGTCTTTGCTCACCCATCTGAGTAAATACCTTTCTTTAGCTGTAGTGAAATGTGTAAGCAGCTTTTGCTGGAAAATGGAAATTTAAGGAAGCACATTCAAGTTCTCACCGATACATAATAATTCTATTGTGAAAACAATATAAACAGTGTTAAGAACATTTGACTTGGGTAAACTGAAGGCACAGCGTTGGTTTTGGCTCTCCCAGAGTTGTCTTTAGTCTCTACTTTGCCTTCTCTAAAGAAAATCCCCATTTTCTTTTTACCTTGTCTTACCTCTTTGTGCTTTGCTTAATGTCCTTTACAATCTTGACTTCTAGCAGTTTATTCTCAGCCTCTGGGATGAAGTTTTCTTTCTTTACTAAACTGTCAGGAAAGATTGTTCCCCTTTGTCTTTTTTAAGGTTGCTATTCTAGCCACTGTTCTGGAGTCTTCCTCTGCAAGGTTTTTATCTTTTTTAGGATGTGATGTCTAATGATTTATACATCTTTTTAAGAAGAAGCCTTCCCTGAATTCATTTCACTCCCTTGAGTTGCTTTCTTGTGATATTTTGCCTTTTTAGAAATCATAAATCTTAGTCATACGTATGCCTGCTTATCCTTTCACTGAATTTAATCACGCATCCCAGTATTATTTTTATAATTGGCTCTTCTGTTCTCCTTGGTTACCAAAACCAAATCTAAAATAACCTTATGTCCTGCTGGTTCACTGACAACTGGATTAATTTGTCATCTATGACCAAAGGAAATAAGCAGGTTCTGTTAAGGTCTATGATTAGGACTGGTTGTTTCCAGCTGTGTATCTGGGATGTTAGTCTTCCATAATAACACATTTCTTGGTAGTATTTTTGTCTCTAGTAATGTTTCATTGTGATTCCTATCTGAATCTGACCTACAGGATTGATAGCTGATTCTTGCAATTATCCTATCCAGGCTTTTCTTCCTACCTTTTCCCGAATAATTTGAAACTACTGAAAGCATATTAGTTTCTCTAGCTGATTTTATAGATGCCAAGTTGAAAAATTAACTAGCAGTTATGAACTAGCAGTACAAGGAGGTGAGTTACTTAGTCACCAAGGAAAAAGTGAGGCTTTCAGGAAAAAAAACCCCTGAGATTGAGAAAATCATAAGGCAGAAGCAGTAAGGAAGCAATTCTAAAGAAAAATCTATACCCCCTAGAAGTCACTTTAAAAAAAGGCAGTGTCTGAAAATGAACAGTAAACACCAAAAAATGGAGAGAGAGGTTACTCAGTCTGTTGGTGGCCTAGTGGGGGGGGATGAACAAGAGCTGCAGAGTATTGAAAAAGATTATGCTATTTTCGGTTGGGCATTGAAACACTTGATTCAACAAGGTAAAACTGGCAGGTTCAGTCAAGTTTCCTTCTCCAGCTGTAGCCTTGTGTCAGGAAATCAGAGACTGCATCTCAGATGAAGTCCTAGAAATCTAGCTGAGAGGACATGCACACACAAAGAGCAAGGTTTCTACCGAAGCAGGTACCAGAAAAGAACTTACAGGTGATGTTAGAGGGGTGGTGGAAGACATAGGCATAGCTAGAAGTGCAAGCAAAGATTCCCATGTGCATACTTTCCAGAGTTATCTGAAATTTTGAAATGGAGCCACAAATTCTTTGTCAGAAGAGAGAAGAGATCAGATATGTGTTGACATGGTTAAGATTTCCATCTACAAGCAGCTGAGAAGTTGAGTAGGAGCTACAAGATAGAAGCTTGCTTTTAGGTAGGCAGCAAAAAGAGTAAGGGTGAAGAGCAGGAAACGTGAGCAGGGCGCGAGGCACAAGGGATGAACATAGTGGAAAGCAGGACTGCTGCACCCTGGATGCACAGAAAGGGTCACAGCACATGGACATAAATCAGGACACGGTCCTGAAATGTGGAAAGGTTGAAGAAGGCTGAGGAAAGACAAAAAGAGTAAGGAGCAGCAAAACCACAAGTTTTTTCTATGCAACAGAGTAAGACCTCACAGCTATAGTCAACAAGGTACAAGTCTGGAAATGGCCGATGATACTAAAGAGTGAGGGAGAAAAAGAAGCCCTTTATTAAAAGATTAGATTCTGAGAAAAATTTGAGACAGAGGAGCAGGGATGTTTTTAATAACAGAAAACAAATGTTGGCTTTGTCTGCTTCCAGAAGCTAAGTCAAGCAGAGCTGTTGACTCCAACAATGGAAGGGAAAGCTGGTGGAGCTAGAACAAGATAGAGGTTAAAAAAATTGGTGCTTTTTTGAAAGGGAGTGGTTTGTGGCAGATATAGACAGGGAAGTGAAGGAGAAGAAGGGAAAAGTGGATGCAGGGGGAGGGAAATTAATACAATTTATGTCAGAGTAAAGAGAAAGCAGTCATTATAGCAGTGTAGAAAAGAGCAGAAATACATTTGTAGCTTGGGAGGCAACCCTGTAAGAATTATTTCATTAATTGCCTGCCAAGTTTTTTGCAAGGGTGAAGTTAGTATTTGAAGATTTTGGTCCTGGTTTGTTTGTGCAATTCTTATTTGTCCGTTCAGCTTGCCCTTGCTGACCATCTGAGTTCCTTTCATCATGCTGCTATGTAGGGTTCCCATGCTCTGTTCAACAACTGCCATCATCCTCTGTTCAGGTGACTGCCTTGTGCCAGAGAACAAATTATTCCTCTGTTCAGAACTTCTGCAATGTCTGATAACGCTCCTAAGTTGACATAGTATGTAAAAGTCAAACAGTATTAATTTTTAGCAACTTGTACAGGTTCCTTTTTCCTTGCCATTGACTCTTAAGCACGTTCCTCAAGGGTCATCTTCTCTACTCCTTCTGTTCCAGAACGACTATCGCAAGCTGTCTATGCAGTGCAAGGACTTTGTGGTTGGTGTTCTCGATCTCTGCCGAGACTCAGAGGAAGTGGAGGCCATCCTGAACGGGGATGTGAACTCGGAGCCCGTGGAAGCACAGAGGCACAGAGCCTCGCTCAGCCGCGTCAAGCTGGCCATCAAGTACGAAGTGAAAAAGGTAACGCCTCCTAGCCAGCCTTACAGCCTTCAGGCGGTGTAAGAGGAGAGGGGTGTCATCGCAGGGCTTGGGAACCGGTGCTCAGATGTGTGAGAGACAGACAGAGACAGACAGACAGAGAGACGGAGAGAGAGAGAGAGAGAGAGAGAGAGTGTGTGTGTGTGTGTGTGTGTGTGATCAAGGTTGTCAGGACGCAGAAGCTGGCAGAAGGGGGCTACAGTGAGGGAGTTTAGTTTAATCTACTTTGCTCAGCTGAGAATTGGCAAGAGATTTTAATGACAGAAATCAGCTGCGCTAGCAAGGTGGGACCCAGTTGGAGAGATCTTCCTCCTGATTAAGCCAAAGGAAGAGCTTTCAGTGAAGCCAGATTTTCACTCAGTGAAAGTAAGGATGTGTCTTCCTGTCAGTCTGTGTGATATCTAATCCAAAGAGAAAACTGTATTTGTGAAAGTGTTAGTTTCAACCAATGAAAAGAACAGGTTTGTTCATTATTTCTTTTTATTACCTTTGCTTTTTACCTTAAGTAACTTAATCAGGCAAGTAAATTCTGGGAAGAAAGCCTTGCAGCTTTCTACTACTTTCTACTGTTCCTAACAAGACAGAGGTCTACTTTTGGAAGGAAAAAGAAAAAGGGATTTTTCTTTTTACTACTTTGAGAAAGGAAAGGATAACATTTCCTTTGTCATTAAGTATATTACTTTTAAACTTTCTTTTAAAATATGACAATAAATCACATAGCTTATCTGCAACTGTGCTGTATGGGCTCCGGTGAGAGATTCTCCATGATTTACAGTGCACATTCCTTTAAAAGTACATTAAATCCAATCCCGAAAATGTATGGAATATATTTGTGGCTAGTTGATGAGTTCATTTCACTTCTTCATCTTTGCATGTGTATTTATCCGTGTTTTGTAAAGCACAACATGTTTTCAGTTGATGCCTCTCCCAAACTAATTTTTAATGAAGAGTTACTTTGTGAATGAATGAATGTTGAAATACAGGGCTGTGCATCACACATTTGACATGACTCCCATCCATTTATCCTAACAGTTTTCAATATATTTTCACACTGTTCTTTTCAAGATCCCGCTGCCCTAGTGCAGAAAATAATTAATGCTGTGTCCTACTGTGAAAGGACTCAAGAAATACAGCGATGCCTACGTGTTACATACAGCTACCTATTTGCATGGTTAGCATCATTTCTGTTCTTAACAGCCATTATAGCTTTATCAGCTCTGCAAGAAGCCCTGTCTCTTTCAGAATAAATAACACTGTATGCTGTGGCCACCTGTTGAGCCAATCTGCTGTATGGAATGAATTGTAAGCAACCTGCCAGAACAACTGGGGAATGTTGTTTATCGTGTCCCCAAAAGATGGTTAACAAAAATCGCAAATGCAGATCCTGAGCAGCAAATCATTGCTAATTCACAGAATTAGTTTACAGCCAATTACCTTGAAATTTGGTAATTAATACACATTAAAAATATACAAGTATTGAACACAAGGGAACAGGGAAGAAATCAAAGTACATGAGCATGTTATCATAACTAAGTATCATATGAATTCTTTAGGCTGCTGCATGTTAAAGTTACCAAACTTTGCTCAGACTTCTGTCTCGGCTTTCTTAGTGAAGAGTGTGGTTTTCTTTTAAGAGGTTGTTGCTGAGCAAAGGGTCACACAGGTCTGTTAAGAATAACAAAAACCTATGTAGTGTAGAAAAAGACAAGTCCATGTAGCAAATTTGTTTTTTTTCTCTTGCAAGAGATTAATTATTTGTAGATAAATTCAAGGGTTTGATTCCAGTTAGTGACAAAGACAGTTCAGAACCTCCAATACTACTGATCTGGGTGGAAGGACGTAAATAGTGCAGAGTTGTTACCATACTTGTGCTGTTCCCTGTAAATGGGCACTACAGGTGGCATGACAAGGATAGATCCAGGAATCTCTCTGCTATGGTGGTCCTTTGATGCTGTTATTTGCTGTTGCAATTCTGGGTCAGCTCCTTTAAGGTCAGCTCACTGTTGCAGATTGTACAGCCTAAGAGAACCACAGGTTCATGAAAGGGTTAATGAGCCCTATGCCCTTTTCAGAGGGAGGAGAGGCAGGAGGAAGTGTATCTCCAGTAAGCAAATGTGCTCAGCGGTTCACTGCTAGGGAAATGGAGTTTTTAATTCTGTTAGTAATGAAAGTCTTGGCACTTGATGCCTTAGGCACCGCATTAGTGTAGTGCATCTTGTTAACAGGGTATGATTTTTGAAGCTAAGGTTAATGCTGAAAACTGCAGCCCCAAGAGTGAATGACTAAGGGAATTTAAAAAGCAAAACAAAAAAAAACCACCAAAAACCCACAAAAAAAAAACCTAACTAGTTAAAACTAGTAGTCTTGCTCTTTTTGAAGTGCTGCTGCAATAGTGCTTTTAGTGTTTTATCTAAATTCTGTCTTTAGATTGCAAATAACATTTGAGAGACATCGCTGAGACTGAGCCAAGTTCTTTGGTTCTTGCTGAGATAAAAATCAAAGTGGAATTTCCAAGTGAAATTAATGAGAGTTTGAGTAGAGTAACAGGATTTATTTTTCAAACGCTCAAGTTTCAAATTTATAGATAAGAAAGAAGATTCAAAAATTCTCTTCGTAACTTCTGTTCTTGTGTATCAGAGTGTGCCAGGATCTGTTCCTGCTATGTCTAAACTGTCATTTGGTTGTTAGGAATAAATAACACTATATTCGCTCTTAGTCATATGGAAAAATATTTAATACTGATTTGGTTCATGGTCATGAAACTGGATGCATCTGAAATGTTACAGTCAATTATGCCTGGAAAACCAGAGAAATGAAAATTGAGGGGTTTTTTATTGTTTTCTTTTAGTGATGAGATACTGCCTCATGCATTTTTGTTCATTGGGGTCTGGATTAGATCCAAAAATATTAGATAAATGTGATATTAAGATCGCCATGTAATGAAAAGCAAGAAACCTCATAGGAAGTGGGATGAGAGGAAAGAAATGTGGAAGGAACGAGTTGTAAGATGATGTGATCAGTAGGTGAAATATGATGCGTATCCACTGTCCTTAGAGGAGATGAAGCTGAGGGGTCTGGAAACAGATATATGAGGGGTGGAGGGGTGGGAATCCATAGAATAGGTTTCAATTGCTGAAAAGAAAAACAACAAAATTGTAAATCTAAATATTTGAGTAAAGCTGGAGAGAAGGATGAATTTCAGAGCTTTTATGGATGGCAGAAGTGACACAAGTTTCTCTGACAGCTTGGAAGTGGCGCACATTGTGCAGCTGCCAACAGTTAAGTAAGTTGGTGAGATCTTGAGAGCCCTTAGACATAGACTGCCAGAGAAGAACTTGCCATAACCACTGGCATCTTATTCACTAACTCGTCTCTTTTCTTGGCAATAATTATAGCACAGACAGATCTCCTCTTAGCATCAGATCAAAATGTTGATAGAGCAGGAGGAATAAACCAGCATGCAGCTTTGGATGAGATGCAAGAGGGCCAGTGGGCTGATGCGTACCCCTCGCTGAGCTCCCTTAAAGCTCCTTTGCTCTTTCTTCTTGTTCCCTGTGGTAACAGGAAGAATGATGTGGATATTTCTTCTCTCTCCTCTTCCCTATATTTTTAAGCCTGCTCCTTAAAAAATGTCTTTGTAATTTGAAATAACTAGGTACTTTTCTGTCTTTGGCCACTGTTGATCTGCTGTGTGATTTGTCCTTTGATATCCTGAACTGAGAATGAATTTTATCTTAGCAAAAGAAGAGAAGTCAGTCAGAATGCAAAATGCAGAAAAAACAATCTCATTTTTAAAAAATGGGCCAGGATGGCAATTTCATGGTGCAGAAGCTTCAGAGTTGACAGCCTAAGAAACAAAAACAAAGAACACAAACATAGTTCAAGTTGACATTAATTTCTTAAAAGACCTTTATGATATTTTTATTGATTTCTGTTGGCCATTCCACTCTAGGTACAAACTGTGTGTGATCTAACTGGTTATTGAAACACTCACCAAAATTCCTTGGAACTTTGGTTTTAGAGCAGAGTAGATTAAAATATGAAGATTGCTTCCCTTTTGACAGTATGTGCAACAGTTTCAGATTTCTCCTCTTGAGAGTTTTAAGGTTCCCTGTTTTCATTGCCAATGATTTAATTTGATTTTTTTTTTTTTTTTTTTTTAAGAACTCTGACCTATTGTACTACTGTATGCACTTTCTAATGAGATTTGGAATATAAATGGGGTTTTGCAGGCAAGACCTGGCAAATGACTGTATATAGTACATTATGATCTCAGCAGAGTACAAAGGATAATAAAATGGACATCCAAGGCTTACAGTATTTTATTTAAAAACAAAAAAAATATAAGCAACTCAGATCAAATGTCACTCTTCATCCTCAGGAGCACTTAAGATGGGCTACACACTCCTGGTTACTTGACGTGATCCTGGTGGAACAGCTGCACAGGCTCCTGTGTCCACATTGCTTCACCCTCAAGAAACACTACAGTGCTTCATAAAGAGAGCAACACATGCTCACCCTTCAGCACACTTGACCAGAAGTGGTTTTAGTACACATAAAACTTAAGGCCTATCTAAACAAATGCAGTTGTTGGCAGCAGCTTGTTTTAGCATTCCATAATTAATTTGAGGATCGTTCCCCTTCCATGTGAACAGACTTGAAATATTACTGAAGCTAGGAAAAGAACATTTGCATGTATTTGCTGCCCAGAAGAAAGGTGAAATTTGACTGTTGTGGGTTTTCCAGTGGGTACTAGACCCTCAATATGTGCCCCTTTAGTATCTTAATATTTGAATCTTTGCTCCATTTCAGTTTTAGGACGCTTAAAGAAAGAATTTGTGGAAGCTAGGGATTAATGAAACTTATACAAAAGGCTCAGGAGAGCAAGTTCATGTTGTAATAACTGACTGAGAAGTTGAGCATTAATCTTAAGCCTATTTTTCCACTTGTCTGATTGTCTCTTCATGACTAGATACTGAAAAATTCACTCAATGCCCTATTTCTTTGTGTTGATGTTCGTCTGGCTTCCTCCCTCCCACCTGTTTTAAAGCAGATGGTTACAAAAGTCCTTGATGATGTATGTATTCTTTGATACCTTTTAGTCCTTCTGTTCTAGAATAAATTAGAAAATACTTAATATTGATAAATAATAAACTAATCGACAGAGATAAAAGGAATAGCTCATAAAATAAATGATTAAAAAAAAATTCTCTTTCTCAGAAATCACTGAAATGTTTACCCTTTTAGTTAAAGCATACACCTCGGATCTTATTTGAGCCTTCTGCAGCATGGTGTTAAGCTGTTAACTCATTACAGTCTTCTGCCATACTTTGTAGTTCATAGTGATAACGATCTGTACATTCAGGGTCCTTTAAATCTTAAAATAATGGAAAAGGAAAAGTTATTTTTGAAAACTGTCACATTGGAGGATTTAATATTTTTCAGCTGTGATAGTATCAAAGCCATGAACTTAGAGAAAATACAAAACTGTACAGCAAAATACATAGTCTATTACAGAGTCCTTAGAGCATCACAAAAACCCTAAGGTCATCTTTGCATCTGGTTCACAAAATGGAATTTACTTGTATTACTGAATGCTAAGGTTTATTTTCCACAAAACATAAAAAGCTGTTTGTAGTAAGTGGCTTCTGATTAGTTTTCAAATCCCAAGTACATCTAATTAGAGGTGATAGCTGGCACCGTTGATGGTAGTAAGAGAGAGGACACCCTTTCAATATTCATCCCACTCTGTTCTGGTGAGGTTTAAAATTATGTAGTATACATTTGCTTCATTTATTATTACACAAGTAAATTTTAGACTGAAAATGTATAGATGGTTAAGGAAGTGTTTGGAGCTTTTGTCAAGGGCTTCTGTCAGCAGTGGCTGTCCACATGCACAACCTTGCCTTCAAAGAGCTGTTTTCAATCAGCTGAACAGTTTCTTCTTTCTTTATTAACCTTTAAAAGAAAGGAAGAAAGAATAAACATGGTTCTTAAAGTCTAAATTAACACTGGATATTTAAGGTGATCATGATTATGTGCATAGCAGTTACAAAACTCGTTTGTCTCTTGGTTTTCTCTCTTTTTCTTTACAGTTTGTGGCCCATCCAAACTGTCAGCAACAGCTACTGACTATCTGGTATGAAAACCTGTCAGGATTACGGGAGCAGACCATAGCTATCAAGTGTCTGGTTGTGCTGGTGGTGGCACTGGGCCTTCCGTTTCTAGCCATTGGTTATTGGATTGCACCATGTAGCAGGGTACTGAATTTTATAAATTACGTATTTTGTACTATGCTGGGGGCTGGGTTTCCATTTCTGGCATTCAGAATGCAGTATTGTACCCCTAGTTCTGCTGCTTCCAACCATTAACTAGTTAATGATATTTTTAGTAATTTTTAGTCTTGAGCCAAAAGTTGCTTTTTTTTGTTTGCATGCTAAAGAGGGGACCACAATGACAAAGCACAAAAATAAATTGTTGTTAAGTTTAAAGAAAAAAGCCACCTTTTCTGAAAGCTTTTTTTTTTCTTTCCTATATTTCTGTAGGTAGTGCTCACCTCCCAGTCTCTGCTATATAATTGTATTTGTATTAGTAACATGGATTTTTTGTGTCACCACTGAGACTCTGCATTAGGTGCCCTCTGATGGCATCTTAAGTTCTGATGCTGTTCCCATATAAACCTTTATCAGACCATCTGTTGACTGTACTGATGCAGAACTTAAAATTAAGTAAAATATTTGTTATTCTTGCCCTAGGAGGTCTGTCTACCAGCTGAACCATAGAGCAGAAACTAAATTAAATGCAGTATTCCAACAATGTGGTCAGGTAATTTGTTAAAATAGATTACAATTAAAATAGATGTGTTTAAAAAATATATGAAAATAGATGGGAGCTTCCAGCTTTCCTGATGATCTCTCAATGAAAACAACAGCAGTTTCTCTGAAATCCTGATAGGCTGTAGTGTATGGATTGTCTGTAAAAGAAGCATATTGATAGATTTTTGATAAATCAGAAGAAGAAAGAAGCTCTCTCTATTACACGCACTTTAAAAAAAAAAAAAGTAAATTTACTTCTGTGGTGAATGTGGTCTTTCCATTTGATTTGCTGAACAAATGTACAGCAAAGAAGCATGAGTTTCACTCATTTATATTTTGCTCTTGTAGTTCACCTCAAAAAAGATAAGATTTTGGTCATCTGCATATTTCAAAAGAACCTGATCTGTTCCCTGGGCTAAATACTTACTTTCAAGATAAACCTTTATGAAAACAGTATAATTGTTACTGTCACTATTCTCTGAAACGCCATTTCCATGAATGTCTGTAGTAAAGATATTCCTCGCTCACATACACAGAAACATATTAATACATTCTAGCTGGTGTCTAACATGGAAGAGTGACATTTCTCTTTGAGCTTTAATTCCCAGTACCAGAAACACCTGATGTTATTCCTAGTGCTCATGTCAAATCAAAGTACTGTACCTTCAGATCAGTTGTTTGATGTTGTAATTTCAAAATGCTTTCTAAAGGTCAGAAGCAGGAAGGGAACCCGAGATTGTTTGCACAGGTAAAATGTTGTTCAGTGTGTGCTGGTCGGATTCGTTCATCACAGCTGACCCCAGCTGCAAGAAAACCATTCCTTGAAATAGGAAAGCTACTTCCAGTTCCCCACCTGCTGAGCTTCTTTTTTTCCTTACACAATACTGCTGATAATGCAGCCCTTTGCAAGGGGGTTTGGAATGTTGTATAATATGGCAGATGTATGTGAGAGTTTATCACATTAAAGCTATATTAACATCAATAAACATTGGCCGTTATGTGCAGAGCAGTGTATTTGAAGGATGCAGGAGACCTTTGTCCTCTCCTTCCCTTTCTCCTTCCCCATGGACTTGCTTCATCCCCCCACTGCTATCTCTGGGCATTAGATTAAGCTCTTTGCTGTCACTGCCATTGTACATGGTAGTTCCTTGGAGAGTTTTCTCTCGAACATCGCCATCTAGAGTTCATGGAATAACATCAACGCTCACAAGTAGGACGTGAGATTGCGAGGATGCCTTTTGGAGACTTTTGTCCGAAATGGTAAAGCATCGCAGTTCAGTGCACTTGGGAGAGTATGCTTTAAAAATTAAGTTTCAGATTGTCCTGAGCTCTGAGTGCCCACTTACGCTTCTGGAATGCCTGGTGAAAGAGTTTGTTCCTTTGAGAAGACCGAGTGACTGCTTTCATTCTACCCTTGCAGCTTGGAAGAATTCTCCGAAGCCCGTTTATGAAATTCGTGGCACACGCAGCATCCTTCATTATCTTCCTGGGCCTGCTGGTGTTCAACGCCTCAGACAGATTTGAAGGTATAACAACGCTACCGAATGTCACTGTTACTGACTACCCTAAGCAGATCTTTAGGGTGAAGACGACCCAGTTCACCTGGACAGAAATGCTGATCATGGTATGGGTACTTGGTAGGTACATTGCCCCTTCATCTTTGTCTTTTCTTGCACATATAAATTAAAAAAGAAAGGAGAGAAGCCGAGGTCCCAGATCTTTGCTGGAGCTGCTGCGTGGTTAGAGTAAAACTTTAGGGCAGATAGCAGTGTATTAGGACTGGTGAGAGCATCAGAGTATCTCTGTGCTGCCCCTTCTTGCAGCCTGGGGTAAAATTCTCTTTGCTGATTTGTCTCACTGTTGGGTAATCCTTGCACTTGTAACAGGAGAGTAGGTTTAATGAAGAGAACGCTATGAGAATTATTCTTTACTGAAGTGGTTTTCTTAAATGGTATAGTGAAACCTATGTTGCTGTACATGCCAGAAGGTCAGGAGCTGCTACTGCTGGGTTTTCATGTGCTTATGTGGCATTGCTGTCTCGGTAACATTTGGGGCAATCACAGGTTCTGTGAGCATCAAAGGGCTAATGAGTCAGTTCTCATTGCTCATGTGTTTTGTTGGTTTGGTTTTTGTTTCTTTTTTTTTTTTTTCATCAAAACATGATCAACCCTCAGCATGTTTGAAACTCCAGGGCAGAAAATGTTATTTTCCAGCATTTAATCCAAGTCAAGTGGCTTACGTACGTACAGCCACGTGATGATGTGCCATTATCAGCTTTTACAGGCTGTGGAAACAAAGGTGTTACTGTAGCTGCTACGTGAAGGTGCTGCTCTCTACCCTTTGAATCACCTGTACCTCCTGGTTTAAGCACTGCTTTATAGAACCATGGAATTGTTTTCAGTTGGAAGAGACCTTTAAGACATCTTTGAGTCCTACTGTTAACCCAGCACTGCCAGGTCACTGTTAACCCATGTCCCTCAGTGCCACATCTCCATGTCTTTTAGATCCCTTCAGGGATGGTGACTGCACCACTTCCCTGGGCAGCCACTTCCAGGGCTTGGCAACCCTTTTGGTGAATAAATTTTTCCTGATATCCAACCTAAACCAGTTTCCCTGCTTCTTGTGTAAAGTGGAGAACTGATAGTATAACTATGACATATTTATGTTTGGTCATCTGTGTAGTTGTGCTTTTCTGTAAAAACTAATCCTCCTGATTCAGAAATGTTTTATGAATGTACATGGTTAGGAAATGAGATTTTTTTTTCCTCACATTTAACATTTTTCCTTCTTTAGGTGTACAGCATCCTGTTAGGTTGTTAGGCTATACTTTCACTGCAAACTTGTGGCTCTACACTACCCTATGTGCAGATGTCTGAGCTTTATCCCCATGTATCAATTAATACCTTACCATTTGGTTAACCTTGTTGAAACCAAGAAAGCTTTACTCAAGATATGTGATGATGCTGTCACATGGCATATAAATGAATTTTGGCTCTACTAGTTTCCTAAAATGTGAGAATGCAGAGTTTAAATAAAAAGTTTGGCCAATGTTGCTAAGTTGTTTCTTTTCATTTCTTGCTGCAGGTATGATGTGGTCAGAATGCAAAGAGCTGTGGCTGGAAGGACCCAGGGAATACATTTTGCAGTTGTGGAATGTTTTGGATTTTGGGATGCTGTCCATTTTTATTGCTGCTTTCACAGCGAGGCTTCTGGCATTCTTGCAGGCCACAAAAGCACAACAGTATGTGGACAACTACATTGAGGAGAACGACCTCTCTGAGGTCACGCTTCCTCCAGAAATAGAATATTTTACCTATGGTGAGTTTGATTTTTCTGCAACACAGACTTGAACATAGCAAAACTGGTAGGATTCACTAGCAGTTTGGAGCTTTGAGATGAATATTTACACGTTCACAGCATTTCTGCCTCGATATTTTTGTTTCTGTACTATTTAAACAATAATTAGGATGCTAATTTGACAAATAAATATGCTAATACATTAAAACCAAACAATAGGCATAAGGAAGTAAAAAGAGCAGCAACTCTAGTCAGACAACGTGTTCAGGGAAAAACCCTATCAAAATTTATTTTTCAACCTTGTGCTGAATGAGTAACTCCTTACATTTACCCCTATATTTCATATCTTCCAGCTAGAGATAAATGGCTCCCATCTGATCCTCAGATAATCTCTGAAGGCCTTTATGCAATCGCTGTTGTTCTTAGCTTCTCTCGGATTGCGTATATCCTGCCTGCAAATGAGAGTTTTGGGCCCTTGCAGATTTCACTTGGAAGGACTGTTAAGGACATCTTCAAGTTTATGGTCCTTTTTATTATGGTATTTCTCGCATTTATGATTGGAATGTTCATACTATATTCATATTACCTTGGAGCTAAACTAAACCCAGCCTTTACAACGTAAGTATGGAGTTCTGGTTAAGTAAAAAGCTGATATGAAACTTTCAAGCTTTTCATTAAGGTTAACAGAATCTACTAGATATTGTTTGCTCTCTTCTAGCATTAAAGTAAAATTGAAGGCAGTTGAAGTTCTCAGGAAATCAGGTATCTCATAACCTTAGGATGCAGAATACAAAAGACCAATTCTTTCCTGCTTGTGTTGTGGAAGCTTTCACTGCAGACTCCATTAACATTACCTGTGTACTATGTTAATCACACACTTCTGGACGACCAATGGCAAGAAATTATTATGGGTATCTTCTGAGTGACATTTTCCCAAAGCAACTGTTAGAGTTGTAATCTTTAACTGGGCTCTGTCAGACTTAATTAATACACAGAGAGATTTAAACTAGATGTCAATAATAGACCTACAAATATTTTTAATTTGTCAAGAAGTGGAGATAGTGATTTGTTAAATGACATATTTTTCTTAGACTGGTACTGAAACAAGTCTATAAACTGCAATGGACTCTTTTGAAGCCAGTTTTACAATCTGCATGGTAACTGTTAGTCACATGAGTGCAGAAGAATGGTAGTTACAAGTCTCTCTTCATGCAACTAGATTGCTTGCTATGATTTCCAATTTTTTTTTCTTTACTGGTTTGTTTTTTCTTCCTGAAACAAGGTGATGCTGGCAATGATAAATATTTAGGATTGTCCAAACCAAAAGTAATTCCACAGGATAGTGAAATTCAGAATTTCTCCTTTTCTCCCATCTTTCTACAGGAAATGTGACTTCTGTAAAAACTGCCACTTTTTCATGTAGTTTATTCCATGACTTGTTAATTTGAGCCTGATTTTTTTCACTTATTCTTACTCATGTTTTTTTTCTTTGGATAAACAACAAAGTACAATGATACTTTTGTTACAGAATTTGATATCAGGTGTCTAGTGTGCATACTATTTGAATGCTCATTAAGTTCTTAAACAGCAGTGTTATATTACTGGACTATACATCCATTCATAAATTGTTTTCATTTAAAAATAATTTATCAGTGTCAAACCAGATAATTCAAGATAAGGGTGCTGGCATATTTTTGTTACAGTTATTAAAAAACTGAAAGGAGTGCAGCAGCTCCTTCCCATCAACCCAATTTTTAGCTTTATTAAGGCAGGGAAGGCCTGTCCCCTGCAGAATTTGCCTGGAAAATGATGAGATGGGAATGCTTCACCTCAAAACCTAGAAATACAAAACTGTTCTAATTCCTGGACTGTCATCTCCATGTATTATTACAACTATATCATCTATGATGGAGAAATTTAACATATTATGAAAAATATTTTCCTGCATATTTTTTGTTCTGATCAGTGCTCTGCAAACCTGGTTCACAGAAAAATTACTTGAGATTGTGTTTACAGTAAGTGATAAACAATTTATATATCTGTGTAATTTGTAACAAAACTTTCCTCTTCTTTTTTCTTTATCCTACAGAGTGGAAGAAAGTTTCAAGACATTATTTTGGTCAATATTTGGCTTGTCTGAAGTAACCTCCGTTGTCCTCAAATATGATCATAAGTTCATAGAAAACATTGGTTATGTTCTTTATGGTATATACAACGTAACGATGGTGGTAGTTCTGCTCAACATGCTGATTGCTATGATCAACAGTTCCTATCAAGAAATTGAGGTGGGCTCTCTTCTCAAGTTACTCTTTGCTTATGTTGAAAAAGGGAAGAAATATTAAGAATTATTTCAGTGAGCGCATCTTGAGATGCTAAAGTGGAGTGGAGAGATTACCTCAGGAAAGGAGAACACAAAAAATACCATGTTCCTAGGACTTACCTCATCTAACCACCAAGCCAGGCTGCAGAACCTTATGGAATCTTAACAAGTAGTTGATCTTGTGCCACATTTATGCTTCTAAGGAGAAGCCATCCATCCAGAAGTCTTAACATCTAATGTTAAAATGAAGACTGCTGTGAAGTATAAAACAAAAGTTTTATTTAAAAAATAAATCACAAGTTGCTGAAATGAAAGTAAACATGTATTTATGGTGCCCGTTTTCCAGATCATGAGTTTGGATATTATTGAAAGAGTACTACATTGACAGCCATGGGCACACACCCAGACAGACTAGCAGGAGAAAAAAAAAAAAAAATTAAGACATAGTGTACAAATGGATATGTGATTTCCAGGATTTTCAGTGACTTCTGGGAAATGTCAGGGAATTCAACAAATTCCCTGAGAATTTGAGAAATGATGATAATAAAAAACAAGAAACCAAACCTTTTTTCACCTGTGGAGTAAACCAAGTCCATCCTTGGAATACATCAGTAAGGATGTATTAGGACAAGATCAGTTTGTCAGTTTTAATATGATTCCTCTATGACAGTGAAGTTTGTATTGTCTGTACTCCATTATACAGCGGTTACTTTTCATAGTTCTGTAAAAGCTGTGGCTACTGACATTTTAAACCCTGTCTGCTTGAAGCTTATACTTCACTGCTTGTGTGAATGCCAAATTCATGTGACCATGTGGTTGGTGGTTCAGCCCCAGGCAGGAGCCG